GATAGTCATAGTCGTAGATTGTTAGATATCTATATATATATATATACACACACTCACACGCACACACGCACACACGCACACACACGCACACACACACACACGCACACACACACACACACACACACACACACACACGCCCGAACGCGCGCGGGCAAACCCAACGCACAGACAAACGAACAAACAAACAAGCAGGGAAGCATTCCAGAAAACAAGGTTTCCGCGCAGCGTCCTTGTTCGAAGCAGCCTGTGGACTTTCAATCTAAACTTACCGCAGCATGCAGGAGATCCAGCAGAGAGTTGGTGGACTCCTTAGCCGGCCTGGTTGGAACTCTGCAGACTTTTCGAATTCTTTGCGCATTGCTTGCAGCGGTAGGACCTCAGTCCATTTTGGTACTACACCGCTCTATGTGCAGCAGAATTCGAGGCGCTGGAAGTCAGCTGGGCTATGCTGCTGCAGCATTGGGAGCAGCTGAAGTCTTAGGTGCCGGTGATGTCACGAAAATCTGCATCACACTCATGCTTCAAGCCCGACACCTGGGGGGCGGGAGTTGACTGAGTTTTTCGGCAGGCGGCAGGCATCATGTATGCTAAGGATCGCGGGATGTTTGGCGCCCGATGTACTTAGAGAGACCCCGCCCCTCCTTCTTCCGCACAAGTGCCACTAGTGCTACGGAGGAGTGCCGACAGAAGGACGGCTTGGGAAAGAAACCTGTGCACATTGGCATTAACAAACCATAAGGGTAGTGAACTGCTTTGACCTCCTCGTAGTGACGGTGTCCCTACGCAGGCCCAGTGCGGTTGGCTCTCACAGTCACTGCCGCCCCCACAGCATCCAGGTGTGGTGCCATGCTGTGTTGTGTTCTGATTTGTTAGAGCCTTCGCCGCAGGCGATTATTCTCAATGGGGACGTAGTTTCCAGCCCACAGCGTTTCGTAAAACGAGCACGATTGTGACCGTCGGGGACAGAGCTTAAGCCGCGTCAGTTGGTCAGACATGCATGCGCACTTCTCGTAAAACAGTCCACATAGTGCAGTTCAGTGCTGCGGGCTGCTTGACTTGTTTTCCACCAGACCTCTGTCGGCCACATCAGCAGGCTGGCGCGGCAGTATGAGTGGTTCTGCAAGGCAGAGGAGATGATTGTATCGCGGCTTTAATTCGGAACCGTTGGAGGGCCTAGAGCAAAATGTCCTGGGATGAAATTCTCAGATTATTGTTGTCACATGCGCTCGTTCGGCATTCGGAACGTGAGGCCGATTAACTGTGAAAGCAGAACCCGAACGAGAGCAAGCGAGAAAGAGAGGCAGGAGTAGAGCATTAATATGAATACATGTGTCTGCTAATATTTTGAGCAGGCAAGTGAAAAGTGAAGCATAATCTACGCTGCCTTCCGCATCCGTGCAGCTCAGGTGGGCTACATCCGAGAGTTTGTAGCGAAGGTGTCACAAATTTTGATCAAAGCATGAGTCCGAGAGACTTGACTACTTGTAGGACATTCTGGTCGGACTAATGCGCCCACGTACAGGTGCATGCTACCGGCGCAGAGTTGCAATGGTCAGGCTCACTTCTCTGCATACCGGACGCCTCCCCCCGGCAGCCCACAAAGTGACGGATTTCTGTCGTTCATTATATGTGCAGTGTCCTCCGCTACCACGTACTTCAGAGAAGTTCATGTTTCTCGGCGAGAAACCGTAAAATTGCAACTCGCGGACGCAACAATTTGCAAAACTCTTTTGTCTCACTTCAGTGAAGGGCGCTCAGATCTGTAAATGTTGCACACGTGCGTGGCCTAGCTGAGCCGCGACTGGATGTCGGTCACCTTACACGCCCGAGTTGAATCGAGAAGCACGCGTCTTCAGATTTGCGCAGCAGGTCAAGATGTTGCAGTCAAGGGCTGTAGAAGATTTGGCTGATTTCATTTTACATAGATAGATATTCAGAATAAGGATTACTCGAATGTCTCTGCAGCGTCTTTGCGCTCATGAATTGCGAGTCCACTGCTCGCGATACTGCAGGCATTCATACTGGTAACACCCGGCACAACAACTTAACTCGACACTTCCTTCATACGATAGAATGAGATGCCATAGGACTGCCGACAACGAGACTATTGAGAACATCCGTCAAAAAGGGGTTGATATCTAAAAATTATAGATCAGTTTTCTGTACCAAGGACAGATGGCCAATTCAGAAGGGTCTCTTTCACGTTATAATTCCATTATCTCTACCGAAGATCACATGTCATTCTTCAACTTGCTGGACCCATTGCGTCGCAAACTTGTTGTTTTGTCGTGGGATGCATGGCATGCTCTTTACCAATTGTGGTGTAAGTTTGCAGCACATTAATATGCATGACACGTGGTGACATGACGAACATATCTCTTGGAAGACGGTGGTTTCAGATTTTCTATGTTCTTCCGCAGCTATGGAAGTCGAAGCGTTGACTTTGTTTCCTGGCCTGGAATTCCGATCGAGAATCAGCTTCCGCTAGCGTTGTGTTCGACTTCGGTTTTGGTGTGCGCTCATATCACTTACTTCTCTTTCCTTGAAGCTCCGAAGCAAGAGCCAATTCAGGCAGAAATTTCCGCACCACGGCAACACTGCGAGTAGTTCCAAAACCCGCATCTCCCCACCCTTTGCCGTTTGGGAGAGTTCGAGCTTCATGTTTGTGCTACTTTGAGTAAAGCAGGTCCCCGGGCTCAGGTTTTGGGTTTGTGATTATGACAATCAGTTCTATAATTAATCAATTATAAGTCTATTTGTTCTACAAAATGGCTGCGTGCTTCCTCCGGTTACGGATTGCGCAGGACAGCCAGCGGTACGAAACCGCGGAAATCCCAATGTTTCGTGCGGAATGTCGCGGAGTGATGGGCGATAGCGAGTTTGAGGGGAGTGTTGCGGAGTGGCGGGCGAGGGTGTGTATTGTGGGGAGTATCGCGGAGTGGTGGGGGAGAGCGAGTCGAGGTGAGTATTGGAGTGGTGGGTGAGAGGGCGTGGATGTCGTGAGTGAGGAGAGTGTCGTGGAATGGCGGATATTCGATGGCGTGCGCGTCGTGGGGAGTGTCGCGGACTGGGGTGTCATGGAGTGGCAAAGTGGACGAGGGTGGGTCGAGGCGTGTCGGAGGGGGTGGGCGAGGGCTTGTGGGGAGAGGCGGGCGAATGGGAGTGCACCGATTCGAGAGGAGTGGCGGGCGAGGGCGAGTTTGAGGGTAGTGTCGTTGAGCGGTGCGCGAAGAGGTCTTGGGTGAAGGAGTATCGTGAAATGATAGAATGACGGGCGAGGATCTTAAGAAGGGAAGATATTTATAATCTAATTTTTTATATAGGCAAATCAATTATTAATAAGAAGATAATATTAGAGAATAAAAGAAAAATTTATTAAAATATATTCATGAAATATAATAAATAAAATAATTCTGGGTAAATATTAATAAATATAGATAATATACTAATAAATTGAATAAATAAGGATAAATATGATAAAGACAAATTAATATAAATAAAAATAAATTTAAATAAATAAAATAAATCTAAGATAAATATAGAAATTTATTTTCAAATAAAAATATTTTTCTAATTTAAGATTTTTTTATGAATATTTCGATTTCTCTTAATTCGATAATATAGAAGATGAAATAGATTTGGTAAAAAACAAGAGGAATAATTTTTATTGAATTAATTTTTTTTTAATATTTCGATTAATTTATAGGTTATAAAATACGTCTTTTCTTATAAATTGTCGTCTGGTATTAATGGTTCAAAATAATTATAAATAAAAAATCTAGAATTATTTTTTTTGATTAACATTAATAGATATTATTTTTTTTTAGGTGGTATTTTTTTGATATTAATTGAATTAATAGATATATAGGAATATATTATATTACTTTATTTTCTTAGCTATGAAGCACGATAATGCATATTAATCTATTTGGGAGTTTCCGAAAATAGGGGACCCTAATATAGTACCCTAAATAATAGGATCCTTATTATAAGGACCCCAAAATAAGGTACCCTAATTTTCGGAAACCCCCATTTTGAATTTTAATACACTTTATATTAATGAGGTCGAAACTTCGGGTTATATCAAGCTTATACTTAATAAGATAATATTAGATTTCATTTTCTTTTCATATTTCTTAGAAATTATACATCGCTAGTGATAGGATATAAAAACATACTATTCGCCTCCAATTAATTATAGAATATAAGAATAATTATAATTTAATTTAGAATTAAATTATCAAATTATTGTATCTTTCTAGAAATAAATCGTCGTCTATTGTACGAACTCGAAGAAATTAAGTTGGATTATTCTTATTATTAAGAGGAGGGTCGTACTTAATATAATGCATCTGCTGGATAAGAAATGCCAGCTTCTAATATTGGGTATCTTTTATTTCTTAGCTTCCTTTTCGGTTCATATTTCCGTATTTCTCAGCCCCCCCCCCCCCGATCATTGGGTACCCTTCATTTCTTAACCATTTCTTAGTCGGGAATCGAGCCCATAGAAATCTATCGGCTGAACTGAATGCCTTACTCATTAAGTCAGATAGATACCTCCAGGACAGTATTATAGTGGATTTCAATCTTTGATATCTAAATATAACTACCAGAATAGTATCCGATTCTATAGACCTTGGAATCCAGCCAAAATAAGAAATATAGTTTCCTATATTTCTTATTTTGATTCCTGCCGTATGCCCTGGGCTTAGGACTTGGAATCCAACCAAAATAAGAAACGTAGCCTCCTATATTTCTTAGATTTTGGTTCCTGCCGCGTGCCCTAGGCTTAGACTTGGAAACCAGCCAAATAAGAAATATAGCCCCCTACATTTCTTGTTTTGGCTCTTGCCATATTCCCTAGGCTTAGGGCTTGGAAACCAGTCTAAATAAGAAATATAGCCTTCTATATTTCTGATTTTGACTCCTGCCGTATGCCCTAGGCTTAGGACTTGGAAACCAGCCAAAATAAGAAATCTAGTCTTCTATATTTCTGATATTTGGGCTCCTGCCATATGCCCTAGGCTTAGGATTTAGGAATCAGTCAAAATAAGCAATATAGTCTCCTATATTTCTTATATTTTGGCTCCTGCCGTATGCCCTAGGCTTAGGGCCAGGAAAAATAAGAATATATTTTGGCTCCTGCCATATGCCCTAGGCTTAGGACTTGGAATCCAGGCAAAATAAGAAACATAACCCCCTATATTTCTTATTTTGATTCTTTCTATATGCCCTAGGCTTATAGGGCTTGGAAATCAGCTAAAATAAGAAATATAGCCTCCTATATTTCTTATATTTTGGCTCCTGTCGTGAGCCCTCGGCTTAAGGCTTAGAATCCAGCCAAAATAACCTCCTATATTTCTTATATTTTGACATCTACTGAATGCCCGAAGCTTAGGGCTTAGAAACCAATCAAAATAAGAAATAGAGCTCTGACCTAATTGCAAGCCACGAGATACAATACCCCATAATTAGAATGTTAGCAGAAATATTACAAAATATATCTAGTATCGTTTCATAATATGAAATACCAACTCCTCGGACCCCATTTAATTATCAAGCTATTATTAAAAAAGAACGCCCATAAAATAATAACAATATTTTCCTAATCATCTATCTAAAAGAAATTTCACTCTAAATTATTTGTCTCTTCAAATCATTTTTATTCGATAATTGTTTCAATTATTATTTTATTAATAATATCTATTATAAAATTCTCTTCAACTTCATCATCTTCTATTAAATTCTTAATGTTCGAATATCTAGCTTCGATTTTATTTAAGAAAGCTTCATATTCCAGAATAATATAAGAAATAAATTTATGAATTTTATATTTCCTTTTATTCCCCTATAATTATTTTCTAATTTAACGACAGCACATCTTAGACCAAATTTTTCCCTTTCAAATCGAATCAATAAAAAATAAAATAATAAAATTTATAAATGCCACACAATCAACTACCATATTATTAAAGAATTTCAATAATATATTGCATTCCAATTCATTATTTCTCTAAGAATAGATTCATATAACTAATCTTACTTCTGCACTAGAAGATAATTTCCAATATCATCTAAAAACTCATTCTGTTTCATATACTGAGCAGTATATCCTAAATCATTCATTATAACCTCTCTATGAATATATAGGTTTATAACAGTGTCTTAACAAAATAAGAAAAATTCTAGCTCTACGGGATCCACATGATTTTGGGTTACGGTTCCGGGAAATCTGTTGGAGCTCTTAGCTAATGGTCATGATTTGTGAAACTTGCGGCGCAAATGCATTCTGCCAATGTCATGCTACCTCCACTCCAGCCACGGATGTCCCATACCATCATTTAGCCCTCTCGACTAGGAGCTGCACCCTCGCCAAACAACGCGCATCAGCACTACAAGCTGGGTTCAGGGTAGAACGACTGCGGATCCTTAGTCATGACGAGCAAGGGAAGCAGGAATTCGTTCCTTGAGGTCTACCTACGGGCAGTCCATCATAAGGGGTCCAATCGCACCTGTCAGCATGGTGTGGAAGATTTCCGGGAACTCGCGAGGGTGGGTCCGCACTAGTCACGGGTTCCGTTGACAAGCAGGCTTGAATGGCTCATGGCCTATTGACAGGCTTGAGCATGGCCTGGCCCCAAGATCCCCACAAGACGTTCCGATGCAAAACCACTCGCTTCATACGACTTCAACGTCAAGGCGACACTGCTTGGACCCGCACGGAACGCGCGAGCAAGCCAGCAAAGCCTCAGGAAAGAAATGTGCAAAGCACAGACATTCCCAAGACACACGAGGTGGTGCTGCCTCTTGGCTGTCGAGCCTGGATTGCAGCTCTCCTACAAGCTTCAGAATGAGTTCACCGCAAATTCACTCTGACCTTCTCTTCACGAAGTCTGGGACTTCAAGTCCAAGTGACCGCGGTAAGCTTGCGTGCTCGGGAGCCCAGTTGATGGCTGCGACATTTCCTGGCACAACAGGGTCTGGCATGCTTGCAGCTGAGATGTCGCAAAGCGAAAGAAAGAGAGATTCGAACAAATACATATACCGAGACACAATGACCAGGTACACCGTTCAAAAGGGTTTGGCAAACAAATAGGCCAGGTTAACGGGCAGACCAATTTGCCTGGAGGTTATCTTCGATATCTAAGGATTCATGTGGTGGTGCAGCAAATGCAAGCACGATCATGACTCGTTACCGTGATCGCAGAGAGCCAAGCTCAGTAGATGCCAATGTCCTTCTCAACGTCGGCATTTCGCAAGTGAGTTCTTTGAGAAGCAAAGCCTAAGAGGGGAGCCTCCAAAGTGGCCGGGCCACTATGTGCTCATTTGCAATATGATCAAGCAGCTGAGCAGAAGATTCCCGAGCCTGGCAGTGTTCGCTCGCCCATCGTTGCGGAGTTGCCTGCAATCAAAACGCTGCTTTCCCGCAAAGGCTTGGTGTAATGAACCTGCCTGGATGTAGAGCGGGCTGCATGGATCGTCGCGGCGGGTTGCAAACCTTCGCGCGCTGGCGCTGGCTCGAGGACCGCGCAATTTCAGTTATGGGATGTTATAGGGTGCGTGCAATAGAGTGCCACGATTGGTCAAGACAAGACAAGGTCGACTGGAAACATGATGAAACATGTGAGAACCATGGCTGAAGCAATTTACGTTGACCGCAGCGCACCGAGCGATCTGGAGATATGCTGTCATGGTTCTTTCTTGGCTGGTATCTGGAGCTCGACACGTGGATTGGCAGGTTTTGCAGAGAGTTGGGGCTGAAACAGGAGCACTCCTGTGTGCTGCTGCATTTCTCAACGTGTGGGGCTTTGGGCTGCGCCGTCTCACTAGACTTACATAGACTCACTAGACTCTAACCAGAGACTGCACGTGATAAACCTTGAGATTCCAAAAGTTTGGCACGGGTCCGGCAACGGCAGGTTCCACAAACAGGCTTGAGCGACCAAGAACTCAACTGTCCGATGCATTGCTGAACCACTCCTTGTAACATGGCTGTTGACTCGCCCCAAAGCAGCTCGAGGTATCCGGACAACGGGCCACGAGTTCCAAAGTCAATCTGGGCATTAGCCTTGGTTCTGTATCTATTCGAGAAAGACACAAGATGGAGTGCTCCGCAAAGGGGACCCTTCGATTGGTTGAAACGGCGGTTCGAACTTCCAGCTTCACAATATGCATGGCAACAACACAAGTCAACCAATGGTTGGGCACCGTGCTCGCCGGACTCACTCCAGGTAGGTGTCGCCTGATCTATGCTTGATTTGCGACACGCCAATGTAGAGTTGAAGAAGAGCACGGCGCGTGTTGTCCAGATCAGGCAGTATAAGTGCCGACAAGTTTTGGTTGGGAGAACCAGATCTAAACAGCCTGCCGAGGCTTCCAACATTCTGGAACGCAAGGGGTCCAGGAATGGGTGCAGAAGAGGGAAGTATGCAGAAAATCTGAGTGCGCTCGCAATGAAAGTGCCAGCCGGCGTCTGCACGGGGGAGCTTCCGCAACGATCACCCGGAAGGCCTCAGCATCGTGGCAGACCCGCAGCCCGGCACGAATTCAAGCAAAAGAAATTGGCAACTGAATGCTGTTTGCTACATTTCCCAGGACACTTCAAGCATTGTCCATGTGCCCGGGCTGCCGTTGAAGGTACGAGCACGGTTGCTCAGAAGGCCATCGTCCTCAGCAGAACAAGAAGCTGCTTGCACATCCACACTACGGTGTCCTGACTGATGCAAACTGGCCAAGCCCGAGAAACTTAAACATCCGAAATGATTTCGAGTGCTTCCGAGCCGCCAGGGCTTTCCAGAGCCCTACTGAGAGCAACACGGCAACCGTCCACCCTTTAGTCCCTAACCGTATAAAAAAAACCTTAGCCGGCTTTCCCTTGCAGCCAACATAGTCAAGCCAATTGCCAGAAGCCAACCTACCCCGTGGAGCAGGAAATCTGAGCGGTCTGGAAAACTAAGCTCCCTGCATCAGGTTGAACTGCCTCAGTTGCACATGCGAAATCGAACTGGGCCTGCAAGTGAAGTCTAAACAACACAAAGGACAAATCGAACCGACTATCGAACCAAACAAGACGGCAGGTGCTGCTACAGAACAAAGCCATCATTGTGAAATGTCCTCTGTATCCGTCCAGGCAGCAAGCTCTCACTGCCCAGGTCCCAGCGACCCACATATCATCAACTTCATTGTCAAGCGGCGAGGCTCCGTGGAGGCCAGGCTGTGCCAGGAAAGTGGCCAAGACCCGCAAGGCCAGGAACGCCATGCCCGCCGTGCATGCCATAAGCCTCCCAAACCCGTAGTCAAACGGGGAAAGTCAAACGCGCCCTGCACTGCCTTGCACCTGCACGGTCTGGTGCTCTCCGCCCCTTGTTTCTGAATGTTTCTGACAATCGCTGAGCTGCTTCCACTATGGGGGTTATGGATGTTTAAGGAAGGGTCCAAGAATCAATATCCCGGCACATCCATCCGCATGTTCGGCTATTTGTCGTGAAAAAAAACAGTATGAACAAAAGGCAGCAGGTAACCGCCGCTTGTGTGCTCACCAAATCCAACACGGACTCAACAGGATTGAACGAACCCTCTTCTTCTTTTCCGTCTCCGTCACGGATCAGGGAACGACCACCACACTCCTCCCGGTCCTTATTCCGCCTACTCCGGGACTTGCTTTAGCTTTCTTTCTTGGTTCTGATATGCTTGACACTTGTGACAGAGACGGAGCTCTGCCAAAGGAGAAGGCAGGGACAAAGGCTGTTGGAACATCATTTGACATTAGGATTCGGATGTTGACAGCTCTGCCTTCTGCATTGAACATGAGGCTCTGTGGCCGCCCCTACAACACCCTGCAAATGCGTCTGTGTCCAGCAACTCCATGTCTTCGTGCAGGGAACCCGCCGCAAGCATTTCGAACATCCGGCTGTGTTACGTACTCGGCTCTCCAGATGCAGGCACTACGCAAACGGAGCTGGAGTACCAATGGCAATGCGTGGCCAACATGTTTTACCATCGATGAAAAGGAAACTGCGTTGGACGCTGCTAAAGTCGATCGGTCGTATGACTGGCTTCGGACGACAGGGGCCTCAGAAACCTCGGACACTGATTTCGTGTGACCTTGGCTACTTCGTGGGAATGCTTTCGATGCATTGGCTTTGCAGTTTGTGGCGCCAAAAGGCCAAGGTGCTTCTGAACGTGTCGTTTAATTACAAGGGGGTACAATCTGCAGCAACCGACAGTATTTTTTTCATTGCCAGCGTGTTTGCCTAACAATACAACCACGCTTAACGTCCTCTGTGAACTGATGTTTCCTCCGTTCACCTCGGAAGCAAGATCCAGTCGCAGCTTCTGTACTGGAATAGCATGTGGTTCCGCTACGGCTGGGTTCCGTCGTCATGTTGCAACCCCTATTGCAGGGCCACTCCCTCGCTTGAGGGGGTGGGGGCTGCGGCTTTTGTTGACAGCTCGCCCTGTTCACAAAAAGGCTGAACGCAAAGCTTCTGAAGGAGGCACTAATGCCTATCTCACCAAGTCTCGGAAGACTTCACTCTAAGAGGCTGCCTGCCCTCTTTTCTCACCAGCGGGTCACTGGCTCCGTGGCTTCACAAGCCTACATGGCAAAAGGACGTTTTTGAACGACAGAACGGCAGCAGCACATGCGGCTTCAGTATCTCGCAGACAACTGTACATGAAGAGGCTCGAATGCACAAGAGCGTGAGGCATGAAATTGACACACCCCAATGTCTATTGGCGAAAAGTACTGAAGTACTGAAGCAGATACACATCTTTCATCATAAACAAATATCCACACATGTTCCTCTCCCATGGACTCCAGCGGAACTGCTCGTAGAAGGCGGTGATGGCCCTGTTCCATTCATCACTCTGCTCGCAGCTGCAGATGATTAAGTCATCCACATGGCTCACCACCACACCCAAAGTCGTCATCTTTCCAGTCAAAGGATGCTTGCCTCGGAAAAGCCATCCACAAGGCTCAGTCTTCATCTGAATGAAACCCTGAGCTTTCAGGGCCAAACCCACAGCCTTGTAGAACTCTGCTGGGGCGTTGACAAGACCATACGCGCGGCCTCTCGAGCTTGAACTGCTTGTCCTTCCGGCACCCCCGTTCGTTCTGCTAACTCTTTCACAGGTATTCCGGGTGGAGAGCTCCCTGCGCCGCCTTGGTTCCCGGCTTCGAGGTCATGGTCTCCAGCACATGCTCGGTGTCCTTCGACAAAGGGCCTGCTGACCGACACATCCCGGTCGCCCCGAACGCTGGAGTGTATGACAGCCGGATCCCGCAGTCCTCGCACACAATCCACTCCCCGTGGGCGTTCCGCCCCGACTTCGATCCGCTCCCGAACGGCTGTGGCTTGTGTTCCACCAAGAGCTCGGGGATCTCGGTTGTCGGTCCCCACCGTGCGGCTGTAGCCCAGCCTCTCCTCTGGAGGAAGTCGGGCTTTCTGCTTGCTCTTGTTCTTTGCCTTGCTCTTCGGGAGGCCACTGGTGTCCTTGACCGCAGTCGCGGAGTCGGTCGCTGGCGGCGTGTCACGGGTGACTCGGAGAGGAACTCAGGGACTGCAAAGATCTCACTGCGTGTGTCAAGTTGGAAACGTCTTCAGAGCGACCTTCGGAAGCTGACGGAGTTGCTGCTTCATCATGCGCTGCATACATCGGCAACAGATCACACTTCACATGAGCGCATTCGGTGGACGAAGGATCTGTACACACCTGCACACAAGGTTCTGCTGCGCAACTGACACACTCGGCAGGCATGTGTTGCTGGGTGGGCTGAGAGTCTTCTGCCGAAGGTCGGTCAACGGGGTCGGCGCGCCAAAACCGATCTAAGGACACTGACTCGCTCATCCAGTCCTTGCTAAGATCTAGAAGAAGATGCCCTGAAGAAGACTCCTCAAGTCTAATCGCAATCCTGGCATTCACAAATTCACGGACTGAAAGATCACAAGCCTCCGGGACACATCAGCCAGCGCCCCCCAGCTTCTGAAGCGTCTTGACCGACAGCAGCACCGGCACGGCCCTCTGCGTCCAGGGTGTGCGCTCCCAAGTAGATCAAATGGCCATCCAGCCGCTGAGGAATCTCCACATAGGACAAAGAGCTAGACACCTGACCATTACCAAAGCGAAAGGGTCGCTGGCGTTGCCCCAAAGTCCAAAACGGCCTTGCCTTTGACACTGAATGGAAAACTTGCGAACACTCCCAGGCGGCCTTCCTGTCCTGCACTCTCGTCGTGCTCTGGCTGCCCCTCGATCACGGCAATGTCCGTGGCATACACTCTCTCCTCGGCACTGCTGTTCACGGACACCGAAAGAGAATCAAGAGAATCGGCGACTTCTTCGCCGGGATCACGCAAGGCAGGAACATGCAGGAACTGAATCCTGTACATTCTCCAAGGAGTGCTCTGGCTCGCCGACATTCTCACCGTCGGCCTCATCACCCAACCGGGGCGTAGTCGACAGGGGCCAGCTCCTCAATGAAAAAGGCGCCCGCCGTCTTGTCTTCACCTTCCATAAAAGCCACCCCGCGCGGTCCTTGGCGAGTAGGTGACGCCGAAGATCTCTTCGGGCACGTCTTGTAATCATGTCCCTTGTCACCACAGATGAAGCACCCAGTGAAAGATGGGTGACCCGGACGCTGTGTTCCCTTAGAGCTTGGTTTGCCCTTTTGGTCCCATGTGCTTGGCCCCGCGCCAAACACCTTGCCTTTGCTGGCTATGTCCACGGCCCTTGCCCTTTCCCCCCTTTGCCGGGTAGAAGCCGCGGTTCAGGAGCTTGTTCTTCACGATCTGGCGGGACTCTTGGAACGTTCGGCGCTTCTGCTCAAACTGGCCGTAGATCTCGCTCAGTTCTTGTCCTAGCTGGGCATCAGTCAGCACGATCTCCTCGATTCGATGTCCAGCCACGGTTGAACTTCAGCCCGTCCTGCGTGTGCCACTCGTCCTCAAAGTGGTCCATTCCACCTCATTTCCGGCGGCTGACGCAGGCCAGCAGGAATCGGTGCTCTCGTCCACCGGCTCCTCGAACTCTGGAGTGTAGGAGAGCACTCCCCACACTCCATCGACCTCAACCCAGCAGGCACGGCGAGCAGGAGCTGGAGAGCGGCCAGGTCCGGCTCGATGATGTTTCTCGACACTAAGCAGCTCTTCCTCCTGATCGCTAAGGGTTCGTTCCACCTTGTTAAAAGACAAGTCACCTTGGATAGCACTCTGAACCGCAAGCCGGGCACTGGAGGTAAGTCCCGCCTTTCGCAAAAGCAACCACCCAAGAACTTCTTCAGGGAGAAGGAACTCCTCCCACTCATCTCCGACTCAGTGTCACTTGAGTCTCCTTCAGCCACAGGTTTCCAGCGGCCTTCGCGCCATCTGCACCAGTCTCGCTCACTCCAGATTGTGGGGCTGATACCAAGACTCGCCACCGTCCATGGCATGGTAGGAGGGCTCCTCCTCCTCAGGACGTGCATCCTCTTGAGGAATTCCAGACACTGGCTTCTCGGGAGGCTCCGTCCTCCTTTGGCTTCACCGTCGTGGTGCTTCGCCTGGCACTGCCAACATCTTGCTGAGGCTCGGGGTTCCTCAACGCTACGTTTGGGCTCACCACTGCGAGAGAGCCTCGGCCCAGGTCCACCAGACCCTCTCCGAGCCGACTAAGGGACTTCACGTTCTTCTCCGTTAAGGGGTTCCGAGTCGCCTGCAGCTTTCCAAGTGATCGCTTCAGCAGACGGTAGCACTCTCGAACCTGCGTCGCCCACTGCGACGTTCCCACTCCAGGCTGCCGTCGCAGTTTGACAAACATGTCTTCAAGGCGCAAGCCCAGGTCATTGCTCGGGGATTTCAGCAAGCGCTCTTCCAGGAAGCGAAGGAGGTATCTCGGGCCCGTTGACTTTCTATCGTCGCACATAATCTTGCCAGCTGCTATAGTCACCCGACCAAGTCACCAGCTCGTCCCTGCATTCTCGGCTCACTCTTTTCCCAAACGTACCCAGTGGAGCTGGGCTCCACTACCAATTTTGTTGACAGCTCGCCCTGTTCACAAAGAGGCTGAACGCAAAGCGTCCGAAGGAGGCACTAATATATATCGAACCAAGTCTCGGAAGACTCCACTCTAAGAGGCTATAATACAGGCGTTGGCATGCCTTGGCCTTGCTGCTGCTGAACCTCCTCGGCCGCTGTTAGTGGGTGTTGGGGCGTCCCCTACTCTTGTGGTCAAGACGCATCAGTATGTTGTGACCCGCTTTCCGCTTCTCCAACACAGCTTAGGGCACTCGCGAGGACTTCAAAGGATTCGGGGAGAAATCTTTCGGGAAGGAGCCGTAGACACCATTTCGTCCCTCAGAAACTTGTGCTCTTTCTCTCGATCCCTGGTTCCCCGAGCCTCGCGTCTTTCCTGTGCGACATGCCCCATGCTTTCGTTGAACGTGCGGGGCAAGCGCCTCGAAGACTCAGGATCGAATCTGTGATGCTTTCCTAGCGCAACCGCAGAACTAATGTCCCTTGCTACGCTCTCTAGATCTCAGATACCCTCAGATCTCAAGTCTGGACAGCTGGAGCTTGGACTGCTGTAGCAGCTGCCCAGGCAAGTAACTGCTTCCTCGTCCGCCGTGGAACCTAGGAGCAAGTCTGTGAGAGAGCTGTTGATTCGGAATGTCACAGAGATCTGCGGAGGCTCTTGCACACACAGCAGCTCCCAAGGCACAAGCTCGCCGAAGGAGTGCAGCTTCCGGTTTGTTGGTAGCTCCGTTTCCTCAAAGATGGTCTCATGACCAGCTCTGTAAGACTGGTAGTGATCCAAACGATCCGGACTGCCGCCAGCGAATAAGTACAGTCAGGTATACGTCTTAGCAGAAACACCGAGACACACTTTCACGAGTCATGTGAACTGTCGCAGGCACTCGGGACGCTGATTCTCGTCATGTGATGGCAAGTCTTTTTGCACGGGCATCAGTCTGCCGGCAATGGCCCTGACACTCTCACTGCATACCACCCTGCGGCGGCCAAGCGTGGCCTGCCAGACGACGTGCTGCGCTACCATCATGTGAAGACGGAATATGTGGCCTCCTACAGCAGCTACAATCAGGGTCCAAAGCAAATTTGCGGAAATGTCGTGACAGTGTGCCAAAACGCTACGGAATTCTACGAAAGACAAGCGGCGTCTCTTCGGTCTCACCATTTGTGACGACTCCTAGGGAGCTGCAAGACACATGCGGCATGTGGCTGAGGCTCGCGACTCCGCGATAAAGTCGGGTTCTGGGGCCCGGCTTCTTCCAGCGAAACTGTAGGCCGAATCCCATCCCTAAAATCCAGCCCCCTCAGCCCCCTGTTGGTCAGAGTGTCCGTCTTCTGGAGGGAACTCGAGGCTTGCGCCGAAAAGGTGAAAGACCTGAGATGCACATCGGGACTTCACGGACACAGTTGGTCAAACCATGGGGCCATGGGGCATCACAACTGCATGGACAATGTGATTACCTATCGGCAACGATGGCTCAGCCGGCGCAGTGGATGTGATCAAACCATTTGTTGCATCTTGGTCGCATCATCTGCGCTGCCGAGAAGACGTAGAGGACAGTCAAAGTATCTCAGCTTCAACTGCGATAGGCTTGTGGTACAGTAACCCTTTCATGAACGTCTAGGAAGGCTGCTATTTCTTGTAGTATTGAAGCTACTTTGTGCACCATTCGTGCGGCAGATAGTCAGCGAAGCTTGCAAGGACATGCTTCATAAGACAGAAAGAAAGAAAAGCTGCATTGGGTCCCATGTCTGAAGCAGGAGCATCGAGACTGGTGCAAAATCTATGGGACGTCGCCTCAAGACTTGATGAATGAAGTGTCGGCTTCTTGTAGGCCCTCTGGGCGAGAAAGTCTGTCTTTATCTGTGTTTAACATATTTGCACCCCAAGTGACCGATGTGCGTCTCCGCCATCAAGACTTTTTCCGCTATCTTCATGTGTCCAAAAGACTTTTCACAGGCGGGCCAGCCTCCCCCATGCTGGGGGAGTCTGCAAGGGTGTACATGGCAGGACGTCAGGATACGGCAATAGTGTACGCAGGCGCGAGCGCGCCTTTGCACAGTGTACGGATAGATGGGTGACGAGTTCGGGAAAATGCAGAAAAGGAGGAAAGGCAACACATGCAATGCCGCAGACCCGCGAATGCCTCTTGGGAGAAATCTGAGCTCGCGAATGCTCAGGACATCCGTGCCCAGAATGGCCCAGAATAGTTACTGAGCAGCCCCCGAACTCAAGAGACCAAAAAAACCCTTACTTGCCTGTCGACTCTGCACATCTCTGCACTGTAGCCAAGCCAAGGAACTCGGCGCTCCGGTCGGGCTGCGCACCCTGATGAGACGAAGGGCAAACACCATTGAAGCAGAAGGCATTGGATCATTAGGTATGATCCACGGGCACCCATATCCACTAGAGCCAAACACCAGGTAACCAAATGAAGAAATGGCTTCGACGCATCGGTCGATACACATAAGGCACCTTGTCGGCCACCAAGAGACGCTTCACGGCGAAGGCCAGGCCGGCGCCGGCCACCGCCTTGGGGGAATGCAGTCGAAACTCTCGCTTTCTTTGCGCTCCAGCCCAGCACTGGCGTGGGACCCAAGTGCCCTGCCGCCAAGGTGCGCCCACAGCGCTGAGAGAGCCGCACACCACCAAGCCTCCAGCCACAGAGCCGGCACCCAGGGCCTTGTCGGAGCAAGAGTTACTGAGTTCACCAGCTAGATTAAGTAGACATCACAGACCGGTTGTGCGGAGTAGCTGGAGTTAGCACCTCGCCAGAGGACACTGAATCAAAGGCCGCTGACCCCAAAAGCTGAAGCATGTTGAAACCATTTCGCAGACATCTGCAAGGCCAAATTAATGCCCCAGCACACGCGTGACAGTCTGTGCCCCTGCTGCCTCAATGCCCAGGCTGGAGGCAGCAGCAGCTGCAACTCCGCTTCCTGTGAAACAGAGTTAGCTACCGTTGCACGATGAGTCGATGAGGCAATCGAAGCCCGACGTAGCCCGACCACATGAGCATGAAAAGTTACCATGTGGCTATAGCCATGTCAGTGAAATCGCCCAGTTCATCCCTGGTTCAACCAGGCATGCGCCAGCCTGCCAAGCCTCCAGCCCAGCCTCCGGCTGCCTGCTCAAATTGCTTCAATGGCACAATGTATCACTCGGCATATAAGTCCTATCCGACTGCATGTGGGACTAAGAGGAGGCGATGGGCACGTAGCACGGCGTTTGCAAGCGCTTGCTGCCACAGGTGCTCGAGACTCAAGACGTTCATGCTTCCGGATTCTTCAAGTTTTTTCATGCCGCCGTCTTCAATCCAGCTGGGCCAGATAAACAAAACTGCCCTTAACGGAGCTGAATGCTAACTTTGCAATCTGCCCCCGCTGTCACTGTTAAACAAGTTCGAAGGGCCGTAGCCATCGCGGTTGTTGAGTTGCCATCGTCGAGAAGGCTTCCAGCTATGGCCTGTGCCAAACCAGCAGTCTGAACGTGCGCAGAAACCTGTGGAACAGCTTTGCGGCATGCAAACCACAGTGACCTGGCCAACGAAGCCTCCCAGGTTGGCCCAGCTCGTGCCTGTCGCATAACAGCAATGCAGCGCTAGGCAGCAGGTTCTTGCCTGCACGCCCTCCTTCATCCAACTTGTGGAAGGATCGCAAGGCAATGTCATGAAAGGATGTGGAACGTCCACCACTTGATCGTAACCCGGTTTGTGCAAAGCTAAGATCTGAAAGTTGCAGCTGGATCCCAACGCCTAGAGTCCAAGGATCTCGTCCAATGCACTTTCTTATGTCGTGGGGCCATCGATTCTCTGACTCCTAGGTGGGCATACAAAGCAGGCAAAGCCAGCCAATTTTACCCTGCGTCTCGACAGCCGCGACAGGCGGACCTGCTGAAACAAGCGCACCAGCGGCCTTGCCAACACGCAAGGCCTGGCGTGTCGAGAACTTGCTGCCAGGAGATACTGATCATTGTCATTCCCATGCGGCATAGTAGCACCATGGCGTTCCAACGTGCATTCGGAATAATGTGAATACGACTGAGAACAGCGGCTGGTACCCGTGCTTGCCAGGTAGTTCGGGAGCTGGTTCATTTTTGTGGGGTAGGGGGTCCCTTCATTTTTTCGGGCTGAGTGGCCAAGCTTTTAAGCTTTTTGGCTCCCTGCCTCCCCCTCATACCGGCCCTCTGACTCTGGCAAGCCGTCCCTGAGGCACGCCGTGGCCTCCCTGGCTCTGGCCTGTGGTTTCGCGCGACAGCAGTCGCCATTTCGTGGGGGGAATCTGGAGATGTAGCCCTGGTCTCGTCTTCCAGTGGTGTCTTTCACGGGTTGGGCTCTCCACTGGCAGCACTTGTCTCCAAAATGCGTGCGCCTTTGCACAAGTTGCCGTGCCTGCTCGTTATACATGGCAGAAGAGAACCGTGTTTCACTGATCACAAGCGTGTCCGAAAGTGGACCTTAACCAGCCGTAATCCTCGAAGGACAACCCGGCCCTGGCGCACAACCTGAGATCAGTCCAGTCCTTGCAAGCCCTCACTCACAATGCTTGCAGCTCACAGCAGTCTTTGCATACTAAGAATGCAAGGTCACATTGTCACACCGGTTCAACATCTCGGCAACTCTCCTTCGGATCAACTTCTTGGAGCATGTCGGTTAGTGGCAGTACCACAACGACGAAGCAAGGCCTACGTAGTTCCAGGCAAGTAGCCGCTCCTCCGGCCAAGACCTAGCAGCGAAAGCGAACAGAATTATCATTGGGAAAGCCAGCATCTCTGCAAGACAACCCTGTTTGATGAAAGCGAATGTACGTTAAGTGAGAAACTTTCATATCGAAGTCTTCATCTTTCGGTGCCAAGGGACGGCGTCCAGCAGCTGGGGAGGCACAGCGCTGCCTTCCGCCTGCGAAATTTGCATCTTGGCTGGGATAGAGAGTGCGAGCTCAGTGGCAAAGCCAATCGCAGTGGAAAAACTTCAGTCCAGGCGCTGGAGAGATCTGTGGGCTTGCTGCTTCAGTGGATATCTAGATGCTAGATGCCTGTCAAATGTCCAACTGATTCTAAGCGCAGAATTCCTTGCAGGCTTGACAGGTTCTTTTTGCCCTCGGTTTAGGACTTTGCCATGACTTCGCCAAAAGCTCAAAGTGCCGTTTGCGCACGAGCTTCTCTTAAGCTCCTTTGGAGAGGCATGCCAATTTAATTCAAGAAGCAAACAACCTGGGTCGCTATCGTCCAGCTTTCTGGGGCTCCTCAGCCCCGGTGGGTTCGCAAGTCTTTCGTGCTTCCGGGAAGTCTCGCACCGAGCAATCTTGAACAATCATGTGATCACTGAACCCTACCAGGACATTCATAATCTTGTGTGGAAAATATTTACGGCCCTTGCAGTCCCTGACGCTCTTCGACGAAACTCAGATCAACTCGAGGACTTGTGTCTGCGCCGCTGGGCTCAGAAGGATCCCACCTGGGTGGATCGGGATGCAAACACCTGTTGCAGTATCAGGTTCCTTCTATTTTCTGCACTAGCATACGAGTCACACGAGCATATAACTTCCCCGTCTTCAGAAGCCTCGAAAGACAAGTATGATGGAGAGATTTCCTTCAGGGCGTTGGGGTGACAGAGAGGAGCGCTGTTTTCCTGGAGTCGTGGCAGTTCCCGTCGTCTTTCTCGTGTCGTCAGTCTTGTTTTCATTATTGCTGCTAGTGCTGTTGTTGTACCCTTTCTTGCTGCTTTTCGTCTTCTAGATTCTAGGATTCAGCGGAACATCGGACAGTCGGTTCGTGCCATGCTTTCTATCTATCTTCTGATGCGTGCAAAATTCCGGTGGGTCCCAGTTCCTCGGGCCTGCTAGCTTCCTAGACATTAAACAGTGAAACTAAGTTGTATGTGCTTCCTTGTACGAGGAGCCGTCCTGACGGCGAAACATGCGGCCGCAGCGCTTTAACACCACGTCGGTCCTTTCGAATCTCGATCTGCTTGCCGGGCTAAACAAGAAAGGGTCTGTTCTTCTTCGATTCGTTTTCTTCGAGTTGCAGGCCCAATTGCAAACAGCTATGCAAGGGCATGTTCAAACCTACCTTGCCGGATCCTTCGACCAAGGTCGGCGGTGATGGTTGGGCCGGGGAAGGCGTCACAGCTATCGGCGTCATAGCACAGAAGGCCTACGATGGGGGCTCCGCCCGGGCGCTGCGGGCCAATCCTGGCTTTCAGAATCCGAGTCACCGTGAAAAAAGCCGTCAAGCCACAGCACTTGCAGCCTCGGTTTGCAAGATAAACGCTCGGGCCTAGACATCACCAATGTGCTCCTAGCTTGAAATGTTTAGAAGCCGTGTTGAACAAACACCTGCGTATGTGACCAGATTTCAGATTGAGCTTGCGCCAGCTCTCTAAGCTCTCAGCTTCGACTTCGCAGCGGCTTCTTGACGCTGGTGGTCCTCCAGATAGCGGCGCACATAGTGCGAGTTGCCTCAGAGTCATGGAATGGTTGAAAGGCTGGAGCTCGCCCCTTGGTGATACAGAGGTGCAGCTGCCCATCTTCAGTAAAACGACACGTTGGTGAAAAGGGGCGGGTCTTACTTCAGCGCGTCTGTGACAACCACTCTCTGGCATCTCTGGCTTACTGACCATCAGCGCCCAAGTTTTAGCACTCTTTTCGCGGGTCTGGTCACGCAGAAGACGGACAACCGTTTAATGCACCTCCTCCTCATTCACCCGCAGTTCGACAAGAGATGACCCGATTCACCATGGCCATCATGGTGCCTTACAGTCTTTGCTTCTGTGAATACCCGTTCTGCCCCCCTTCCTTTCTTCGGTCCTCGCATCCCCTTCCCCCTCTCATGGCAAGGGCGCTCCTCGACTCTACTGCCTCCTGTACTTGCTACAAGAGGTCTGCGCTAAACTATGCAGAACTTCTGTTTCAGGCCTCACCCCCCTGAGGCAGTCTGAGCACCCGCCTCTCATCCTCTCTCATCTCCCTGTCGGCGCCAATTCCAACCGAGGTGCAAATGTCATCATGGCTGGAAAGCACCTTGGCATTGGAGCAACTTCAGCATGCAACCCTGCTCATCGAGCACCTCATTTCTTTACCGTCGATCGGGCTGAAGTTTGCTGAGATTACAATGTTGGACATATGTTGGACCAAGCAGCCACCAGCGAGTTGGGAGGCAAGTCCTCTTTCCAAAGCACATTGTGGTGCCAGTAGAAGTGACCTCACATGAATGTCACCGTCGTGTAGGCGCGGCGACTTTAAAGGAGACTGAAGGCAAGATCAAGGACTGCTGGGCTACTCCCACAGAGACTGCTGCTCGAGAAAGCTCGCTGGGTAGGCTGCGCATTAACACGTGGGCTGAAAAGAGCTCCCATCTGACCTGGCGTGAAGACGCTTCGACCATTCGCAGTATCTGCTTGCCGCTAGCTCTAAGACTGTCAGAGGCGTTGAGCTGGAGTCAGTCTCTTGCTTCCGTTGATTCTGATGGATAGCGCAGCGAGCAAATAGAGCTGATTCCAGGCTTCACCACGGTGCAGTTGCACAGTGCTCTGATAATCGTTGAATTGGGTTACTGATTACTGTTTAAACTTTAAAGTGCTTCACGCAAAACCGCAACAAAGGCTCACTGCCGCTGTGCTTTCTGATAATCAGTTCTCAACGCAGCCCTCATGCATGTCTTGATGTCCACCAGGTACGGTTTTCATGCTTCCGATATGCATCTTGAAGCTCTTCGTGGTCCATCCTCCTTCGCTGGGCTCCCGAAGGGAGTCCCCCCACGCAAGCTGCTCGCACTCTTTTGGGCCACGGGTGCTCCGCGATGGATTGCTCCTGTTGCTCCTGACACTGAATTGTCACTTGCCGTCCAGTCCAAGAGTTCCCTCTGTCCTAGCCTTTGGGTTCGTTCCACGTGCTGAACGCCACAAGGCCCTTCAGCACCGTTTTAGCTTGGAAGGCCACTGCCACTGTGCAGTGTGGCGTTGCGCTTTGCACCCGGCTGTACATGCTTGAAGAAAACGGTGGCCCACGTCCGTGCTCCTTTCAGTGTTGGGCTTTGGGTCAGTAGATTCACGACCCACGAAGCTCCCGGACAGCTGGTAAGCAGCTTTAACTATTACCTTCCGCTCAGGTGTGAATCAAGCTGCGAGTGTCGTCGCTAGTCAGCATGCGAACGTTCTGGAAGTGACCAGGGTAGGCATGGGAATTGGCATGGGGCCGTTTGGCCCCTGACGGCACTCTCAATGGCGCGCTTGTGTGCATCGTGGAATGGAGTGCGCGAAGTCCGGTCTTCGAGGATCGTGCGAAAAAACCGAAAAGAAATGTTTCAACCGGTGTTACACTGCAACAGCTTCGGTTGAGCGATGTCTTAACAACTCCAACAAAGATATCACCGTGTTCCGTCAAATTCTCAAGTTCCAAATGGGGCCTTGCCTATCTAGCCTTGACATGACTTGGAATGTACTCAACGTACCATGTTAGCCGCTAGCCAAGTAGCAAAATGCGCCGCAAACATGAGCATCGGCTGATCAGGCTGCCTGAAGCGGCACGGGTTGCAGTCCGAAGTCTTTGGAAGGAGGGCAGCTCCAAGAAAGCTCAGAAGCACATGACAGCACCGCTTTGATGGCCCTTCGATTAATCCCATCAAGATCAACCAAATATAGTGGGTGACTCTAGGTGACACTGCGATGCAGATCCACCAGCCTGTACAGGAAGTTGTAAGCGACGTCCGGCTGCGCAAGAAGCAACGCCACCGGATCCAGCAGAACTGCCTTTGCAACGAAGTCCCTCCTGGCTGGTGCGACAGGCCGCCACCTTTCGTGCTTGCCGATCATTCTGCACAAACACCAACACACTCATAGCACTGCAATTCTCATGTTTCTGTTTCTACAGCCCATCGAGACCTCAATGCCTTGCGTGCAACACTTACGCCATTTTCCCCCCCACTCTCCTGAACTGGAGCACCCAGCTCATCAAGAAGGTGCCGTAAGAATGTGAAATGAAGATCGCCTGCAGCAACACAGCTCAAGGCCATCTTCTGATGTCTCCCGAAACGCTGTCATGGAACCTCAGTGGCCTCTCTAGGTTCTATGCCACTCTGGCCTCAGCCATTGACATCCCGTTCCGGGCCTGGCGGTGACCGTGCGCTTGCAGCATCGCCGAGAGTGCCTCGGCCATCACCTGCAGAGCAGAGATGGCCGAAGGATCACGGGTCCTTCGGCAAGTAGCCTTGCGTGCTCTGTCGCTTGCGATACCATACCTGTGCAATACTGCAGATGGCCCCAGCTGTAGTCCTTTAACTCAACTCTAAGCCCAAGCCAAGCATGAAATGAGTATCTGCGAGCTTGGGTCCGCTTGCATCTACGGCTGAAGCAAGATGCTCCGCGCGTCCAGCACAAGCAAGCTTACCGACGACTATTTTGCACGCATCGTTCGGGACACAACAGAAGATCTGCAGGCCTCCGGTGGCAGCACGCTTTCACAACATGCCTTGGGCCAGGCTTTCAATTTCTGACTGCCTGTAGAGGGCACTGTTGCACGTGCAACTACCAGGCCCAGAATGCGTCGGGTGCAGCTGCTAAGTAAGATTCTGTTGCTCCGGCAGTGAGGGTTGGGCGATGCGAAAGTAAGGAGCTCTGCACTGCCACTACGACTACGACGACCCCTGTGCCACTCACTAACCAGCACTGATGCGACTAGGACGACGGCGACCGTACGAGCAAGCACTCGGACTTGCAGGACGACGACGTGTGCGCAAGGTGAGAAGCCTCGCCTGGGGAGGGGGGAGAACGGTTACTATGAAGTGATTTCCCATTTCGTGATTATTGCTGTTATTGTTTCGGGTGGTCCTGCCTGGGGACGGGGGGTCGGGGGTCGGCATGATTATAAGTATTTTTACGGGGAATTGGCTTCCCCGTCCATTGTTAATCCCATTCTTCTCAGTAAATGTGTCGGGGAAAGGAGGCGGTTTGGGTGAGGGGGTCGGCATTAAGACTGTCTGAGAGGGGGGCAAACAATGAGAACCAGAATAAGCTTAGCAATAGTTGTTACAATTATTCTTACGATACAGTTATCCAGACCCAAACCGAGGAAAC